GAGTTCAGGCTGCGAGTGCATGGCAAGGCTGTGTGCGACGTGGTTAGTCTGCATCAGCGCTGACCGTACTGAGTGGCGTGTACGTTTCTTCGACGCCTGGGCTTAAACGGATCCTCCATGGTTCAACTCGCTCGTCGCATCAGGATAAAGCACCCGCGCTCCATTCCTCATTCGACTACGGATACGGCCGAACGATACGGATTTTGTTGTCTATGACCCTATAGCGTTTAGTCTGCGTGCTTTATACACGTTTATGTCAGTGCTTAGCCATTGTCTAGTGTGCCAGTGCATGGGTTTAATAATGCTGCAATTCTGAGCTGTGTTGTATCATATGCCTTCTGTAGCGGAGTTTGGTAATGAGCGTGTGTTGTGTTCGGCCAGGTTTATATTCCCATGCTGTGTATGCAAAACACAGCAGGTTAATGGGTTACCTGCTACCGAGATGAAACTATTAAACTATTAAACTAAAACTAAACAGCCGGGATTTCCTAGCTCCACGGCCTCCACCAGAGAATACCAATCTCCTGCAGCCCCGCGACTGCCACGAGCACGTAGGCCCAACTGACGGTACGGCGACATGAATAAACGGTGCTTTTTCTATCTGCTAATACGTGCTTCCCATCCGGATACGGCAAGTATGGGGCACAGACACCGGAAATTGAAGCTTGACGCTGCCGCTTGACTTGTGTCCATTTCCCACGGTTTACAGTGATATACATAGGATCTATTGTATAATTCTATAGCGACCACAGTACACTGAAAAGGCATTATTTTTGCCTTCTCGCATCACAGTTAAGAGGCATTCGTACAACTACAGTATTGCGATAATGATAATACAGCATCTTCTATTAAATTAATGTCGTGAGGATAAGTGCATATGGCATAACTAATAATGGGTATAAGGTACGAACGAGAAACGAGAAATTGGCACTGCGTTTCCGATGATAATTTAATTCTAAACTCCGAAACTACCAAAATTAGAATCAAATGCGTCCAGGCTCAGTTAGGTGGATTAGAACGCAATATCCATGGATAAAAACCACAACCGAAGAATAAGAAATCAACAGTGAACGACAACATTCTACAAGAGACGAGCAAATACTGCAGCCGTAAAAGTACGCCAGAATAGTGCTATTTGGCAGCACGGGTATTTTGCGGCGGCGGGTATTCGGCAGCGATGACGAAGACGGCGGTGCCGGTTCCGGTTTGCCGGCACGTCTGCAGGTGGCGCACGGAGCGCCGGCACTCCGCGCAGCCCTGCACGTCGTCCAACTGGATGAACTGACCCTGCACCGCCACCGCCTCGCAGTCGGCCGGCGGGACGCTCGCACAGCCGCCCATCCTCGCGTTCCGCTGCGATTTCGAGCACGGATCGGAGAGCGCTAGCAGCGCGGTGCTAATTACCATCCACTGAATGCAAGATGACACACTTCCAATCAAGTTCAATGGAATGGCCTCTTTAAACTGTAAATGTTGTTAGTGGAGTAATCAAGCGCAAACAACACTGCAGTCTGGAAAACAACAGAAATATCAATGTAAAGAATTAAACTGGTTCAGTATCGTCATTACGACCTCGGCTCTACCAAATAATTTTTACAGCGCATATCTTGTTAGTGACATTAGCGCTATCTTAGAATTTATACCACTACGTACTCTGGGATAAAGAAATCTCACGTTAGTGGAAATCAGATGTAAGAAATAACACGCATATGTCAACAGAAGAAAACGACGGCCAATCAAGTCGGGTAATTTTGTTTTGTTCAAGTCTTTTGCAGTAAATTCAAACTTACTTTTCTAGCGACAATATACCGTATTTATCGAATTAGAAGCCCAGGGTTACAAATAGTTCAAATGACCCAAGGGGAGGGCTCCAATTACGGGCATGGGCTTGTATTTAGGGGGGGGGGCTTCAATTTTTCAAACCAGCTTTTTGGCATTTTTTAATATGGGCTTTACGGTATTTAATTAAGCCCATGGGCCTCTATTTCGGGGGGGGGGGGCTTATAACTTTCAAACGACCCTAAGGGTGGGCTCTAATTACGGGGGGCCTGTATTTTGTGGGGGCTTCAAACTCGATAATTACGGTATGCATCTGTAAATTGCTTTTTAACCGGGAAATACGCATTCACGATATTGTGCTTCAACTCGAATACCAGCCGGAAATCCGAACCTGATAAAGTACGAACGCCAACCGATCTCGGTAGTGTAAAGCATGTAGTATACGACTCGTACTCCAACTAGAATAACTTTTAACCACTCAGTATAGTTGCATAAACTTCTAGAAAACCAAAAACAGAAAACCAGTCAAACTGATGAAATGAACCGGTTCAATTCGTCAGTTCGGGCCTCCAGTTGCTCCAGTAGCTCCAGTAGGGGCGTTCCCACCAGTTTCAGTTGGAGTATACCTCATGCTTAAATTATAGTCGAACAGAAAGTACGAGCAAGTTCTTACCGGTTAATACGGAAATATCTCATAAATTAACCAGCAAACACATCACTGTACACGGTGTGGAGAACACTGTTCACGGCCAACATGTATTTTATCCCGTTGCGTGCAGCAGATGGACGATTCGTTATGTTCCGTTATCCTGAGAGATGTAAGAAGAAAAGAAAATCCTTGTAAGAAGAGGAGCACAGAGCCCATCAATCTGACTGCCTAATGCCTATTTGTCATTTTTACGGGTGATAAACTGGGAAGCCTGGTGAGTCAGACAAATGGCTGCAGCCGTGCTGACGGTTATGGAAGAATTCGCGTTTGTTATTCTCGCGCTGTATAACAAGCCACCCTACCGGGCGGCGCGGGAAGGAACGAGCTGGCGAATCTATAGACATCGATCGATGGCCAGCAAGCGCACAGCGACTCGCAGTGGGCCAACACTAAGGTCAGCACGTAACGCGACCTGTATTCTTTCAACTTCCCATCGCGCTGCCTGCTTTATATGTGCCTGCTTTATAGGTAACGCTGTAGCATGCTGCGTGTCCTACGTTCCCGGCACACCTGCAGTACTCTTGCAACCGGCAAGCGTTTTCCGGGATGATTATTCACGCCGCTGATGCGAGTGTATCCCTTATCGAACGTTGTCTTTTACCACTATGTACCAGCAATTCGAAAACCGCTACGTCTTTTGTCCAAGAAAATTTATTCCCATTTCGGGATTCAACATTTGAAGTAAATGCCGTCGCCAAGATTTAAAAAAAAAACAGTTGATGTAATCGTAATAATTTGTGAGCAACGCGGGCAAAGATGCCGGCAAAAATAGACGGAGGTTTGACGCTCGTTTGACACTTGTTTAAGCAGTTCACTATGTGTGCCTACCTGTTACACATACACATAAGAGCAAACGTGCGCTACATCAAGACGCCGGCCCATACGACGCTGAATCCCTACTCCAACGGGTAATGGTTTTGTTGGGGGCCGTCGGGCACAAGCGGGAGATGGGAAAATCGTCGTCAGGAGGTTCGCCGGCACCGCCTCCGACTTCGCCTGAGCCCAAATATGCCGACCTGTTTGCGATCAAAAACCCGCAGCACCGCAGTCGTTTCCGCCCAAGCGCTTCCGTCCACAAACAAACCACAATACCGCGGCAAACCACATTTAATAGGTACGAGATTGTGCGCATTGATTCGTCGCCATCAACAGTTACTGTATTGCCTCAGGTTCAAGGAACGTAGGAAGAGGCGTGGCTAGCGCACACGGACCGCCGGCCTATTTGATCTTAAAACGGGCCGACGATTCGTGTATGCTTCCCGGCCACTGGAGCGTTCCTTCAACCTGTACCATTACAGACACAATACATGGTAATAGATGCGTAACACGTGTAAGCTGGCACGAGCTTGCGCATATGCTGTTGACCTTGGTTCATGATCATAACACTTTCGGTATATAAACCAGCGCCGTAACATTCGTATAACTAAACAGCTGTATGTCTATTAGAAATATTATTCCTGCAAAGAACTGTCCGTTGATGTTATTGGTGCCGTACGTAACAGTGAAAATATTTATCTTCGGACTTTCATGCTCAAATGTGGATTATTAGTATTGTACTAAGTAGTAAGGTAGTATTAATGATGTACATCTGCGTATGTAACCTCCGGAGATGCGCTGATCATATTCGTGACCATGAAGTGAGCCACCTCCAAAAGAACAGGAATAAGTATGCACTCCTCGTGTTTCGTTCCCGTTAATTTCGTTTCTATCTTTTGCAAGTCAGAATAATACAACAACACAACGAGTTTACCTGACATCACATCAAATGTGTTCGTTGTGTCGTTTCGGCTTTTACCCTTTTCCGTGTGGAAAATGGATATCTATTGTAGGCTATTTATTTACGCCCGGCATTGAGGACGGTGCACATCAGATCGGTCGTGCTGCTGGCGCCCTCTATCGTAGCGCGCTTATATATATAAAAACATGGACGTCAACGCTAAGCATTCCAGTCAGTACAAATTATTCGCCGGCCTCTGCGGTTCCCGCCTGTAATAATATCGTACCAAATGTACCGGGAAGCTGATCCCGGAGGCGGTTAAGATTTTTTTCCGGCTGGCCTTTCGCGGGGGCTCCGCATCCGGGATGGAATTATTTAAGGAATTCCCGCGAAATACTAATGTGAGGAAAACATTAAGACCGCGGCTAAACATAAGCAGAAGAAGGAGAAATTTGTGTGATTATGCGCTGAGATCATTTTTATTCAATTCTGCGGTACAAAATAGCAGAACGCACCGGCTTCGATTGATCAGAAAAAGCGCACTTATAAAAAATTCGCCAGTTGTTGCTCTACTTGCTTTTTTGCGCATCGCGAAGACCACAAACCGGTTCTTACTCGTTGCAGTTTGACTTAACGTTGCTGCTGCAGTACAGCTGAGTATAGAACAGATATTCCAAGCCATTCATTTTCAGGAAACCAAAGAAACATTTTTTTATAATGAAGCGCGTCCGTTGTCCAAGACAAAGCGCATCAGCTGCGCCAGACTCGTGTTATGCCAGCGTAGCATATCTTCGGTTAAAGAGCAGTTGTGCGAAACAACGTGGTACGCCGCTTTCTCCCGCCACTCAAAGATCCCTCGGCACGCCACAATCCCGTGGTGGAATTCAGCTGAGCGTTGGCCTCGTTCTGGATGACCGTCTCGTCAATGTAGATGCGCTGCCGGTAGGTGTCGCTGCGGTTGCTGTTGAGGATTTCAAAGGGCACGGAGCCGCAGTTGTACGTCCACTCGGGACGGTAGTCGCTGCGGTAACGGCGCAGGATGTCGGCGATGAAGGGCGTCTGTGGGCGGCAGGCGATGAAGCCGGCGTTGAGGGCGGCAGGGTTGTACCGCGGGTGCTCCTTGGTGGTGATGCAGTCGTGCGTTTGCAGCTTCGCCAGAAGAGCTGCAAAAACAACTTTTAAAAACTATCAAAATAAAGACGAAATAAATATAACTATTTTAACGTCGTGCAAATACAAGTATTTTACAGAGTGTTAAATAAAGACACACTAAAATATATATTTGTATCTGAAGCTACAGCATCTGGAAAATGTAAAATCGAGAAAACTTTAGGAATATGACCTATGTTACACCAGGCACATTTAAATATTTCAATTTAATTTTTCCGAAGTAAGAGAAAACGTCCTACAGCTACAGAAATTAAAAAAATGTTCAAAGACAATGAATAGGAAATACAATTATTCATATCAGCATATGTTAAAGGAAAACTTATGCATAATGTTGAAGGTTAATTAAGCAATTACAATGGAATAATATACAATTAAATTATTACTACTTGTGCCTTAATTCTAAAAATGGATGGAATATATGTGTAAGAACATAACTAAATATAAGAATAAAATTCATATAAAATGTCATAGAATATGTCGAATACTTAAATAATTAATAAGAATTAAAAAGTGTTAATAATAATTAAATAAGCGTACTGGTGATATTGGGCAACAAGAAGACATCGAAATCCAGATACAGTCCGCCGTACTTGTACAACGAAATAAACTTGAATATATCGGCCTCGTGGGAAATATACTGATCGGTGGGGTTCAGCCGCCGTCCGTTGGAGTGGTAGCGCCGACGGGCCGGTACGATGCGCAAGGCGCTCCATTCGCGGATCAGGCCGCTGCAGGCATCGAACGGCCAGAAATCCGGGTAGTTGGTGTGGAGGTAGAGGTGAGTGGGGCGCAGGAAGGCCAAGATGGAGAGGACCGGCGGCGGTACAGGCGGACGAGGTGCACCACGCTCGCCACACAGTCACACAACATTTTTTGAATATTTTGTGAAAATGAGTTTCCCCCGTTCTCTGTATGACTTAAATGGTTCAAATGTTGTTTGGACAAAATTTATACCTCAGTTTAAAACGTTGGTTAGCTTTGTGGAAATCCTGAATGAGAAAGTGGAGCAGCTGACGGCCCTCAACAAGACCCTAACAGAGCAGTTGGCTCAGCACGCCGATGTGTCGTCTTCTTCTGTAGCTCATCACTCCCCTGATGCACCTCCGTCCCTGGTTAATGTGGAATCGATTGATAAAACTGTGGAGGAGCTCTGTGAAAGAGGGTTTCTGGTTGAGTGTGCAGTTGGTCACCAGTGGAATGGGTTGGATGATTACATGAAGGAAGACCCCGATTATGTGAAAACTGTGGACGAACATTTTGGAGTGACAAACTATTCGGAAGACATTCCTGGCTTGAAACAGGCGGGTAAAGTCTGGAGCCCAAAGAGGATTGTCCCTGCGAAATTCAGAAAAGGACAGCTTGCCCAGTCACAATCGAAGAACCCTACCACATCCACGAACCATCCTGCACTGGCGATAAAATCACAGTCTTACGCTTCAGTTATCAAGAAGGGACCGAAGGTTGTGCGTGGCAAGCGTACTGGAACGAGTGAGGGACCCTACACTACAAGCTAAGCACCAGCCCCATGCGGACTTTTGTGTGAGAGGTATACCACGGGTCGAGGATTCGAAGTTTGACAGTGTTAAGGACTATAATGCGTTCATTGCCAAACAGCTGGAAGATGTAGGGATTCCTACAAGATTTGTGAGTGTGTACGTTCCTGCTCGTGGAGATAGACGATCTTCCACGTTTGCCCGCATTGGTACGTTTAAAGACATGGCGAAAAAAATTTTGGAACCTGAGATTTGGCCAACAAATGTGTTTGTGAGGGAGTGGGTATACTGAGTTCTGGTGTTTAAATACGCTGATGTATCCTTGTTTAAAAAGCTGCTGTATTATTGTTTAAAGCTTGATCTGAAATACTGTGTATTCTGGAGAATTGTTGTTGTTGTGAGTGTCTGCTGCCCCGAATTGGGATTTTTCCCTGAATGTGTGCGGACGTTAAACCATTAAACTTAAACTTAAACCTGGGAGGGGAAATTAGATCGTATTACAGATTACACCACAGGAAAGCAGAAAAATTAGTTGATAATTAAAAAAAACATTTACGGAGATGTGGAAGGAAGTGTGTCGGTACATGGTACCAATACGTGTACGGAAACTTTCGCTTTCGCGCATTCCCAAACACTTTCTTGAAGTTTAATGCATTCTGTAGCCAAATGATTTGTATACACTGGCGTGAAAACCGTTTGCGCGCTCTAACATTCGGTTGAGGAGATATCGTTGAAATAAAATAATTAGTATTAATATAAAATAGTAAGTGTAATTAATATAATTAATAGATAATAATTAGTATTAATATAAAATAATTAGTTGACCTCCGGGCGTTTAAACTTTTGAAATGTTATTTCACCGGTATCTCATCAATCGGATGTTGGTCGCACAAACGGTTTTCACGCCAGTTTATACAAACCATTTGGCTACAGAATGTCATAAAACGATGCGAAAAGATATTTGGGAGTCCACGAAAGCGAAAGCTTTCGTACATGCACACGAGTTTGGTACCATGTGGCATGTATACCGACCCACTCCCTTAAGGACCGTTACATTGAAAATTAATATTAATTTCCAAATATAGTCGACAGACTTAAAATAGTACCGTTACTGGTTATACTAAAAAGTAGCACAAATTTTTACAAATTAACCGGAAAATAATTCAAATGTTGTTATTACTTAGAAAAAATAAGAGTTACAATTTCCCACCAGCAATTAAAATTAATAACGAAAAAAATATGAATGATTTTAATTCTTACCGGTAAATTGTTGCCGGTAGCGGCGACGATGGGCTCCACTTCGGGGTTAGCAAGAAGGGCTTCCAGGGGAATATTTTGATAGGCCAGATTAGGATCGTCACGGCTAAGCCATAGGGACGCCGCCAGGATGAAGAGGAGGAACAACCCGGTAATGGAAAGGATCAGCGCGAGTTTGCGCAGCGTTACCGAATTGTTTTGGTGCATTTTTCCGGTGTACATGTGCAGTAGCCGTTGGTTCCGCAGAAACGTATTGCTGATGCTGGAAACGTATTGCTGATGTTGCTAGCCTGGCTGTTCTCGGCCTAACAGAAACCCCGGCAGATATGCACAGATATCTGTCAAGCGGCAAGGTTTCTTGTCCTACTTATTGACAAAAGACGAAGAAACATATCACGAAGCCATGTTAAATTCTCGTGGCCATACTGAGTGTAAGCGTGGTGCGATATCTTGATTCACTCTAGTGAAGTAGATGCCGCGGAGCTGCGTCGGCTGACGTTCGTGTAACGCCCTCAAAAAACACAAAAAAATTCTCTTGACAATCAACACGTATTCATTTGTAGGCGCTACATGAAGTCATACCAATTTTAGATCGGGCATGGCATAGCACACGTTACGTAGAGCAGCGTGCGCGACGTTTTCGTACATCAGACTCCGGCGTGTTACTTCATCTAGCAGCTACAGTACTTCGTCGAAAGGACCACACGATAGAATGTCTTGCGGTGTGATATCCTGTCAAGTAAATGTTCCGCGAAGAAACATCGGTCCGCGAAATGACCTTGCCGCGAATGCCTTCGACAATCACCAAATGTCCTGCGCCGACTCGTCCTCGGCGAAATGTCGCGGTACCGAAGTAGTAATTACGGTAAGGTTAGTACGTAGCGCAATGCACCTGTGTTCTCTCCTGTCGCGCTGCAGGGCTTTATGCGTCGTTAGCGATGGCGCGTACATTCGCCCCCCGGACACCTACAGTGCTGCTTAACCCGGCAAGCGTTTTCACTGATTTGGTATAAGCGTTTTCCCATGAAACGGTTGTGTGAAGCCGCAAAAGTTATCGGTATCAGTACCGCAAGAAACAAACGGAAGAAATCCTAAGAAACCCCCTTGCGGAAACCGTAATACCGTACGTAGGCGCGAGAAATGGGATCATATGGATTGATTTTGAGTAAATGCGGAAAAATTTCTGAAATATACAGAGTACATTATATTTTTATTATGTGGGTAGTGTGGGTGGCTGGGTACAGTTGTAGGACGTTACGAATGGAGGCCTGCTGCGCTTCATTCGTACCCATGATGCAGCTCACTAATGCCCGACAAATCTCTGAATGATGTTGGAATATCGTTTAGCTTCGCGATATGTACAGCATCTGTTCACTACTCGAATGCAATCCGCGACCGGATCGGAAAACGAAACAGGCAGGATTGAGGCTAACCTTATTTTTTTAGTGTCCTTCACTATCCATCTTTTTGCCGTCAGATGATAGACTGACTCAGAACATAAAGAATCATTTTTGTAACTTTGCGTAGTCCAGAGACGGAATCTTTACTAATATGGTACGAGTCTACAGACAGACTACGTTTGTCATGTTACAGTATATTAGACTTGCCGGTTTCAACCGTGCAGCGCCTACGTAAAAATACAGAGTAAAAGAAGATAACCTAAGAAACCTAAGAAATCTAAGAAAACGCTGAGGTCAAAATGGATCAGTTCGTCATGAGAACCGATGACGTCCGCCCGGCATCGAACACCGCACGCATCAAATCTGTGAGACTGCTGGTGCCCTCTATCATGGCGCGCTCTCCGAAGGAGCAGTTGTGGAATAGGGAATGGTAGGCCGGTTTATCCCGCCAATTCACAATGCCCCGCTCTTCCCACATCTGTTCGCGGTGGGCGTGGTCGGGATGGTCGTTGATCTGGTCGTCGACGAAAACGGTGCGTTGGTAGATAGAGGAAGTGGAGTAGATCTGCCAGGGCACTTCGCCGCTGTTGTACACCCACTGCTCCGGCTTGTAGTCACTCACGTACCGCCGCAGGATGTCGCCGATGAACGGGGAGCCGGGATGGCACGCCAGGAAGCCGCTGTTCAGCTTGTCCGGCTCCCGCGACGCCACACAATCGTACGAATCCAACCGCGATAATAGTTCTACAATTTCGGCAAATTAAAGTCTAAATTATGATAAATATTTTGCATAAGGTTAATTACTAATTTGCTACTCATTATAAATTAAATTAATAAAATAATTTATATTCATAAGTCATAATTAATATTGGTGAACCAATTATTCTATTAAATATTATAATCATTATAATCATTATTATTTTCTGTAAAATAACTAACATACCAAGCAGCGCAAAGAACAACCAGCGATTATTCATTATTCACGATTTAAGTACAATGTGCCGCTTACGATTTATTTGAAAGCGAAAATCACTTGCCAAAAGGTTTTTCATCGGCTGGAGTTGCAATTTGTTATCGATTTATTAAGGATAGAAATCGAACAAGGCTTACTGGTAATATTCGGCAGGATAAACACATCAAAATCCAGCGCAATCCCGCCGTATTTATACAGCGCAATAAACTTGGCCAGATCCGCTTCGTGCGCCATATAAAACTCCGACGGGTTCAGGCGTTTCCCGTTAACCGTAAACCGTCGCCGGCTGTTGACCAGCTGGATACTAGTCCAATTAACCATCATATGTCCGCAGGAATCGAACGGCCAGAAATCTGGATAATTCGTATGCACGTAAACATGGTCTGCCTTAATATATAAAAAGATGGACATTAGCGCTAAACACTCCACCCAGCATAAATTATTCGCCGGCTTCTCCGGTTCCCGCGGATAATACCGCACTAAATGTACCGGGAAGCGGTTCCCCGAGGCGGTTATAATTTCGTCATCGGTGTTATCGGGGAAAATTTCATCTGGTAATAAGATTTTAGGGTTGACCTTTCGCGGAGGCTCCGCATCCGGGATGGAGTTGTTTAAGGAGTTCCCGCGAAATGTGATTAATGTGAAGAAAAACATTAAGATCGCGGCTATACATAGGCAGAAGAAGGGGAAATTGGTGAGATTATACGCTGAGATCATTTTTATTCGCATGTGCAGAATGTACAACAAAATGCGTGTGATCAATAAATCGCGCGTAGTAACAAAAAATTCGCCGGTTGTTGCTCTACTTTTTTGCACATCGTGTAGACAACAACCCGGCTTTTACTCGTTGCAGTTTGACTTAACGTTGCCGCTGCTGCAAAAGACGTTCTACTGCCATCCATTTTCATAAGAGAATAATTTCTATAAAGACGCGCGTCCGTTGTCCAAGACAAAGCGCATCAGCTGCGCTAGACTCGTATTATGCCGGCGCAGTGTCTCTTCGTTTAACGAGCAGTTATGAAACACCGCGTGATACGCCGCTTTCTGCCGCCACTCAAAGACCCCTTCGGCGCGCCACAATCCCGTGGTGGAATTCCACACGGCTTCCGCTTCGTTCTGGATGACCGTCTCGTCGATGTAGATGCGCTGCCGGTAGGTGGCGCTGCGGCTGCTGTTGTACAGGCCGAACGGGACGTAGCCGCTGTTGTACGTCCACTCGGGGCGGTAGTCGTTGCGGTAGCGGCGCAAGATGTCGGCGATGAAGGGCGTCTGCGGGCGGCAGGCGATGAAGCCGCTGTTCAGCGCGTCCGGATTGTATTTCGGGTGCTCCTTGGTGGTGATGCAGTCGTGCGTTTGCAGCTCATCAAGGAGAGCTAAAACAGCAGCATAAAAGATTGACAATCATCGAATGTTGCCCACATTTTACAAAGCTTAATAAAATTTGTTTTAATTGCGATTTATTGAAATAAATGTACAGTTCCTCGTAAGTCGTATGTACATTCATACAGAAGTTTAGATTTTAGTAAATTTAAACTATGTAAATTAAATTAAATTTATTCGAAAACATTCATTTGTAGAGTTATGTATGTACTGTTAATTTGTAACAAGACACATACTCACAATAAAACGATTTTTGTATTCAAACAGCCAAAGAGAGAAATTTTATTTTAAAAAAATTAAAAAGAATCATTAATTTAAATCGCCTATAAAACGTTTATATTTATTACATTCAAAAATTAAATGACGGAGTAAATGTATAATGCGACATTGCTGCTTAATCATAGATAATTAATAAATTTAAAAAAAATGTTCAGTAATTCCATCTGCTTACTTGTGATATTAGGCAGTATAAAAACATCGAAATCCAGGAACAGTCCGCCGTACTTATACAGCGTAATAAATTTGATCATATCGGCCTCGTGGGCGATGTACTGGTCGACATGGTTCATGCGGCGGCCGTTGGCGTGGTAGCGCCGACGTACCGGTACTACGCGCACCGCGCTCCAATCGCGGATCAGTCCGCTGCACGTATCGAACGGCCAGAAATCGGGATAGTTGGTGTGGAGGTAGATGTGGGTGGGGCGCAGAAAGGCCAACATGGAGAGGACCGCCAGGCACTCGAACCAGCAGAGGGCGTGACGATCGGACCGGCGGCGGTATAAACGGACGAGATGCACCTGGGAAGGGAAATTTTCTATGTCATGCAATAAAACCGAGGAAAATTAGAATAATCCAAATAAAAAATGTTAATAAAATATTATAATAGCTATAGTAAAGACAATAATAATTTGGAGAATCGGCTGAAAATACTAAGGCAAACTGAATGTGAAATATAGCATATCAGTAATTATAAGAAGACAGACAAGAGCTTTGAAATCAATTATTGAAATTATTAATATGTAACGGAAGTATTAAGGACAGTATTAATTACCGGTAAGTTGCTATCGCTAGCGGCGACGATGTCCGCGGCGCTGGGATCGGGGATTATGGCCTCCAGGGGCAGGTTGTGATAGGTCGTATATGGGTCGTCGCGGCTGAGTAGAAGGGATATCGCCAGGATGACGAAAAGGATCAGACCCACAATGGACAGGATCAGCGCGATTTTACGCAGCACTAACGAGCTATGGTACATTGTACCGTTTGTGGCCGTTGGTTCAGTTAAAAAGTGCTGCTGAATGGTGAAGTTGCTGGCTGACAGTGCGTGCCGCAACAATACAGCGCACCGGCAGACGTACGCCTACCAACCGGCAAACGTTTGTTGCTCTACTTATTTCCACTGAAAGACGAAGACACACAACAGCACTTTAAATTCACGTGACTGTGACTGACTGTTAGCTGAGTAATAATAAGCAGTAAGTACACGTACTACGATACTGCATTGTCTTAAAATTAATTCCCTGGTGCGAAACTGCGAAGGTACTGTAATAAAATTATTAATAAGCGACGTTAATGTACTTGTAGAGGCGTTGCATGATGGCAACCTTTACTGGTTCTACACACATCGACAATAGGAGAAAAAAATGCTATTAACAATTTAGTATTTACACGCATACAAACGTTGGCGCGCCAGCAAATCAGCAATTCTATCGGAAGCATCTTTCGGGGTAAAAAATCAAAAAGGAAAGGAATGGAATTTTCGAAATCTTTTGGAAGTGGTTGGCACTGCGCTGCCGTACGGAGCGGTTGCAATAGCTTCCTGCGTCGGCAGTCTCTTATTTCCGTTATTCGACATGGCAGCTTCCCAGACGCCTCCCAGGCAGAGAAAATAAACCCTTTAACTGTTATGGGAAGTGTGCCGGTACATGACACCAAGTTGAGAACCACGTCGGCGCCCTCTCAAATATTTTGTTGCTTTATTTTGTGACCTTCTGTAGCCAAATGATTTGTACACGTTAGCGTGAAAACTGTTTGTGCGCACAACATCCGGTTGAGGGAGTTGGGGGTGAAATAAAATCCCAAAAGCTTTAAACGCACGAAGGTGTACCAAAAGTCTCATTATCTACCGATCTTCGCCAAATCTTGCATGAGAACACACATGTAAGAGGTGAATATCTGTACACACAGCAGCCGCCCATTCGCCGCCTACCTGGTTGGCTCAAGCTCTAGCACAAAATTAATATCTTATCTTCGCCAACACCGGCGATGGCACAGTGGCTGTGCTACGTGGATCTCACTCGGTAGCCAGCGGTTCGATTCCGCTCCATCGCCATTTTTCGGAATTTCCTCAACAGACAGGACTTCATCTGACCGCCCTCCCTCGCTGAGATCACCACGGACAGCCGACTTATGGCTGACTTTGTGATACACAGCATTACGAAGATTGTTTTTACATCGAATCATGTTTCCACCATGATTTTCAAATTTTTCAAATAATTTATGAAGTACCTGAAGTTTATTTTCTGGTACCATATAGTTTGGTACCATGTAAGAACATTTGCCATAGGAAACAGGAAAGCACCATAGGAATTTTTGTTAATAACCGGCAGATATACAGTATCAGGCGGCAAACGTTTACTGTTGACAGTCAGCCATATGAACGGGTAGAGTCAGGAAAATATGCAGATGCCGCATTAATTGGTCATATACATGTACAAATGTATTATGCACATCCAGCATGTTAGTCAAGTGGACATTGCACTTGAGGCGAGCGGTATTATTACATGGTAAAACGATATGAAACATGTGACCGGAGAGGAGCACGTCAATTTCCCAAGAAAGCGGAAAATTTATTATAATGTCTTCGTACCGTAGCGTCAGTTTCAGACCAGCCTACTGTCTAATCCCGGCGCTTTCCGAGCAATCACTGACAGGATTGACGATCAAAAGCTTTAGATAAAAACAGATAAATCTACGCGTACAACGACGTACATACAAAAAACAGGCATACTGCTGCATCAAGCGTCAGTTTACCGGGCGAGGCGAAAACACTTATTCAGTTTTCTCTCTGTATATTTATCAGGAATCTCAACTGCACAACTTCTGCCTGCATTACCAGCAAAATTACACAAAACCTTTTTGTCTTACCATGGGCTACCGTTTATGCAACGCTGTTCCGTCTCTTATAACCAAAGCGATCTTTCAGCGGGATAGCGTTCCACATCCAGTTTGGGAGAAAATACCCCCCGTACCAATCGTCGTCCGTGCATTCATGAGGGTCGTCTTCATGACAATAAGAATCCCTCTCAAAGTCGAATTCATCAACTGCATCGTACGGAACATATTGACGGACCAACGTCTGCACGCTATCATTCGTTCTCTTTATACGAGTACAATCCATTATGACATTTTTCGTAGATATATCAGGTACAGCCACTGTATGGGTGATTTCGCCGAGCATTTTATCGTAAAATTTTTGGACATCTTCGCAGCTTATCGGCGCAGTACGAAATCCATACATCGTCCGACCACGTTCGTTACCGGTGATTTTGGGATGAAAAGTATCTACGACAGCCCTTTCTCCCCTTGCTTGAAACACAAGATCGCCCTCTTTCTTGTTGATAAAACAGGAGATATTGTGTCCAGTCCAGTCAGCGAGATGATTTTTTCCTTGGCGTGCGAAATCTAATAACGGAATACGGCATTTTTGGACAGTTAGGCCATTTTTGGAAACGTTTTTCTTCTTATTAGCGCCAAATTCGGCAATGCGATGGGTCCGCAAATCGGCAGTAGAGAACGTGGGGTTAACGGGGTGCAAACTGGTCACGAAGATTTTGTTGCCTTTTATTTTCCTGAAACAAACCGTCAAAAAAGGAAGCCGCATCACACGTATCGGTAATCCGGATTCTTCAATCCAACTGTTCCGTATGCCGGCGACTTCATTGATATCAAGACCTGGAAGGAGCAGATCAAAGCCCTTGTGAAAATAACGAGCAACACGCTGCATTTTTCTGTAGGAGGAAGAAAAGCTCGCTTCAAAGTGCAGATTTTCCAAGCTTTCACGGCCATCTTGGGATAAGACCACTTCACTGCGGTAGTAAACAATTTCCGTACACGTTATGTGGATGGCTTTAAACAGGTCGTACAGTCCAGGACAATAGAAAAACTGCACCGGATAACGAAGATACGAAGAGCTGATGGTGTAAACACCTTTGTACCGGGTCACCGTGATGTCATGTTGACAAAGAAGACCGGTTAAACCGGACACTGCTTTGATGTAGCGCATTAATTCGCCCACAAACTGCCTGACCCGATCATCCAACTGCGTTCGCGCTGATTTTGCCATGGTCTCTTTATCACTGCTGTTTAGTACTAGAAATAGGTCGATATCTTTCGGTTCTCGTCCTATTAGCACATCGATAACACAGCCACCCGCAATGGCAACATCGGTCAAACTAATGTGGCTGAAAGCGGGAACTCGGTCGGTAAGTCGCTTCCAAAATGTCGAAGAATCTCGAATTCCTATGGTCGGTCTTGTTCCAGCATGTGCGGACGTCAGAGTTGGATATTCTTGATAACGATGATAAGAATAACTTGGTTCGGGACTCAAATCATCCAATTTGTAAAAATGTGGTTTTTTTATCCAGGAGCGGTCCGGACCGCCTTCTGTAGGGAAAAAAGTTGTTTTAAAAGCAAATATTAGCCATTATGGGAAGTGGCTATTTTGCCGCAGTGTTTGCGGCTAAATAGCCGTTTGGCTATTTTGCCGCACTATGGTGGGCGTAATAGCTTGTTGGCTATTTTACCGCACACTGCGTTAAAATAGCTGCTCAGCTATTTTGCCGCACTATGGTTGGCAAAATAGTCAGTTGGCTATTTTGCCACACCATTATTGCAGCCTGTCTCATTAGTTGCCGCGCACTTTCAATGCGCTCTGTACGGTAAAGTGCCGGATGTTCTGCAAAACAGCGTTACTTACTTAAAACAGAATCTCACAGAGCGTCTTACAGAGCGTTACAGAGCAACTACTCAGTAGACACTCCAACTCAAAATGTGTTACTCTTAGTCGAATTAACATTTATTTTCAAAGCAAGCATGCATCGAAGGTTTTAGTCCAGCTTTCCGTACTGTAATCAACAACACAACATAGAGGTTAACGATTGTAAACAGCTTTACTGAGAAATCAAAGTGGAGCGAACAGGCAGCACGAAAATGCCCATCTGGAGCGATCTGCACCGAGCCTGATCGTTGTAGCGCTGTATTTTATGGCTACATCCGAGCAAAGCCCGTAGGTTCACCTCCGGCCACCAGGTTACTCCGCGTGAGGATCCCAATAACAGCCGGCATCTCAGGCTACATATCCAGTCCGGTAAGAAATCGTGATTACCTAAAATCACTGGCTTCCTGGACCTGTATGGGGTATTCTCGGTTGATCGAAGTCTAGGTCCATACTTTAGGGGCTTTTTGGCTTTGGTCAGGTCCAAGCTCCACCGTCCGGGGTTCTTCGCTCGTACCGTACGAATACCATTTCTATAACGGTCAGTGTGACCGAAGCCTATTGGGTCAGGGTCCCGTTAACAGCTGGTATGCTACGTATGGTTAGTCCAATCGATCCTTACTAGTCGATTATATTGCTTCTCTGTTATGAACATCCTCCTTGGTGATGGAAGATAAAAACTGTCGTTCTGCCGGGACAAACAAGGGGGTATCTCTTCCGGAGTAACCCCGGTCCGGAAATATAATTCTCGTTCGACCGTCAGTCAAGAAATGTCCATCTGCCTGTATACCTCTAAGCCGGATTTGTGGTCACTGTGGGAACCAGGCAGTTTTGTTCAAATATCTCGTTCGGCGGAAACTGCGGTGACGTTTCGTAGGGTGACTGGTATAAAATTCGTATGTGCCGGGGTTTCAGTAATTCGTTTCAGCCTGACTGAGAATTCGTCGCCGGACATTTCTGCCTGAACTTTAATTCGTAGCCATACGTTTCGATCGTCCGGCTACTAATTAGTGGTCAGGCCAAAACGTCCGGCTACGAATTCTCAGTCAGGCTGAAACGTCCAGCTACAAATTACGGTCAAGCAGAAACGTCCAGGCACAAATTACGGGTCAGGCCAAAACGTCCGGCTACGAATTACCAGTCAGGCTGAAACGTCCGGCTGCGATCCGACGCAAACACAAAAAAAAATCGGGTGGGCAAAATTTACGGCGGACGTTTTGGCGGCCCCCGGACGTTTTGGACGGTTTAGGCGCCAAAACGTCCGCCGGACGTCTCAGACGTCCGGACGTTTTGGACGG